ACAGGGTTGGTGAATGAACAGCCTAGGCACCCTGGGTTTCAGCAGCTTCCTATCTGTTTATCGCTGGTACCAGGCTTGGTCTCACTTCTGTTCTCCTCCCTCCTCTCACTTGGCACAAGACGGATGTGTTAGAAGAGGACACTGTGCTTCCTTTCTCTCTCCCCCCCACCCACCCTCATTTTTCTTGAATGAGTGCCCATTTGCCTATGGCCTGTCTCGCTGATACAACCCGAACATCCAGAAGGCTAGAGCTATTCCAATAGCAGCGATTCTAATTTACCCTCTTTCTCTCTCATAGATGAGGGAAGTCTCTGATTCTCCACTTTTGTTATAAGGAATTAAGACTGGAAGTACCACATGTTTCCACCTGTACTCAGAATGACTTCTCTAGACATTATTATATATAGATGTGCCAGGAACAGAACCCATTACAAAGGACAGAGTGGGGAAAAGGGATGATGACATGATCTTTAAAAATGACTTTTGCACTCGGTGTAACAAGCCCAAGGAATTGCATCCTCCATCTTCTTTGCCTGGCCCTTTAAGAGTGGTTACTTTCCTGCAATTGAACAGTGCCTGCTGAGATAACTGGGGGCCTTAGTGCTTTGGGAATCAATGCATGGATGTACCAGAAGCTACTTGGCAAGCACCTGAGTTGAGCTTTATAGGTGAACTTTCAGTTACTTTTCTTTTTTAAAGTAACTGATTTCATTGAGTCAATTCATGTCACAAAACCTTTTCTACTAGAAAACATTGCTTTGTTTTCTGACTCCACAGATATAGAGAAGACCAGCTGCCTGTGGCCATTTCAAAACACATGCCCCTCGGAGGGAAGTAATGGAACCTGGAGAAAGAGGAAGAGATAAACCACAGGACCTGCAGAATTTCCAATCACACCATCCTCACCCTGCATGTACACGCTTAGTCTGTTTCCTTCTCACAGTCGGCCCTTCCTACCCTCTTTAGCCACAGGCTATCGGTTGTGTGTTTGCTGCCAACTTGGCTGGTGAGCAGCCAGGCCTGGAGGAAATAGAGGGCCCTGGCAAGAACACCAACTGAAGGCCCCAGCAGGGGTAGCTCCTGATTCCTCCCACAATACAACTGCGCCTCCATTCAACATCTATGGAACTAGAAGTCGCTCTGGAGTCCCCAGGGACCAGGTTAGCAAAAAGTGGTCCCGCTATCTGGATGCGGCCTCTGAGTGTGTGGCAGGAATGGAGAGGGAGGGCCACCAGGTCTTTTAGGGACAGGTTCAAGCAACTCATTTAGGAGAACATTCTAAAAACCTCTGAGCTCTTGTCTGCTTGGATCAAACAAAGAAAATCCATCCTTGTTTTCCAGGGTAACAAACTTCAGACCAGGCAAACCTCATGGACTGCGGTCACCTCCAGGAGCTGAGATTTGGTGTGACTGACCGAGGCTCTCTGAACAATGCGTGTGCGAGGTCCACTGGCAGGGCAGCAGCGTGGTTCTTGGCTTGGAGAGTCTCCACACACTGTGTCTTGCACTGTCCAGGGTTGCTCATCTTAGCCTACTATCTGCCTCCTTCCCTTCCCTCAGTCCCAGCAGATGCCCCGAGGGGCAGACCAGGCCCTGGCGGCCTTGCCTTGGGAGCACTGGCCTCAGGGAGGTCTGGCGTCTGTGTGCAACCCGAGGAAGCTTGTGAATGGAGGCTTGTCCCTTCAGCAAAGGGAAGCGTGCTCATTGACTTCTTCTCCCTCACCCCTCTCTCTCCTTAGGCTTTTGGGTGCCAGCCTGAGGATACAGGTTTTGAGTTGATTCCTGTAGCGAGTAACTGACTGGATCATACCTATAGCTATTCACACCCCTCCCTCTCCTTTTCTCGCGCAGAACTGGGGGAAGCAGCCAGGAAAGAAGGCTCAGGGGCTGGTTTGGGAAAGGCGAGACTGAGGTGGTGGGGCTTCCGAACTTGCCACGGGGTTGGGGAGCTGGGGAAGGTGAGTCCCAGGGGACTCGGCCAGGAGGTAATGCGCGCACTGGGAATCTGGCTCCTAGGTGGCTGGTAGGAAGCATTAACCCGTTTAGTTTTCCGGTCCCCTCTCCGATGGCCAGGGCTGAGAACCGCTCTTTGGGAAGCATTCCCTTTCTCTCCGCAGGTAGCCAGGAGCGTGCACCCTCTCCCCAACCTTGCTTCCGGGCTGGGAGAGCGTGGGAATTAACAACAGCACCGCGCACCCCCCTATCCAGGCGGCTTTGACTAGAGTCTGCGACTTGGGAGTGGACCAGGGTAACGTCTACAGCCAGGGGGCCATTGATTCCAACCGCGGAAAACAAAACGTGCTAAAGGCTTGCACTCTCTGTCGAGTGGAATTTACGGAAATAGAGCCTGGAATAGCCCAGACGATGAAATGAATTTTTTTCCGAACGCAGAGTTTTCCGACGCCGGCGCAGTGGAGATGCGGTGTGCGGCGGCTTAGAGGGCGCGCCAGCCCGGGCGGGCGCAGTCCAGGAGCGCACAGCGCTGCGTTCCTCTCTCCGCCGGCCTGCGGGGACGGGGCTGGAGGCTCCGCGGCAGAATGCGCCCAGTGTTGCCACCTTTCACAGTTCAGTGTCTGCAGGTCTTTAAAAAAAATCCAAACACATAACACTCTTGTTACAGATTTTTCAAGTTTAGTGGCATCCACCCTATTTGCTTCCCCACACCATGCCAATGCGGTTCTAAGAGCGCGCATTTTTTTTTTTAAACCCCCAGTACCCAAGAGAGTTGAGAAGGGTCCTTGGGGTCTGATTTGCTACATTCAAACACTGCCCACAAGAACCGGTCATTTCTTTCCCATAGCAAGTGCCCAGCTTTTCCTAAAGTCTCACCCTGGGGCCCCGGAGGAAGTGGGAGTGCACCTTGCCATCCTTCAGGTTGAAGTGGACTAAAGCCCAAGCAGGTGTCTTGGCCTGCCTGGGTCATTCTTAGACAAAATTTGATCTCCAACTGGAATCTTGCAGGAAGGAGAGATGCAAGAATGGCTGTTTCAGTAGAAGTGGGGCTTGAAAGCTGAAACAAAGAAGAAATAAGAGGTGGAATCTCCGCTCCAGAAGCTTGGCCCCAGAGTGGTCTTATCTCTCTCCCCTTCTCCCCCTCCACACACACACACCTCATCCCCGGGGTTTGGGGAGGAGGCAGGCAATATGTCTGTCAGGATCCACTCTCCTGCTCTTTCAGCAGATAAGGGGCCTGGGCGGATAGACAACTAGATTTGCGTTGGAAAATCTTTGCCATTGGAGGCATCAGCGGTAGGTAGACTGAGTGACATGCAGGAAAACGTGCTGGTGGCATTCAGCAGCACCATCAGGCCTTAAACCAGGACAGTTTTGTCATAGGCTCAAGGGCTTCGCTCACAGAAGGCACAGCGTTCAGTCCCAGTATCTCACAATTATTCACCCTGGAAAGAGGTCAAGGGAACCATTCTGGGCCAACAGGTGTCTGTTTTCAAGGTTCAGGATTGCTTTGCCTACTTACTAGTTAAGTAGTTAGCACAGAGCTCCAGCCTCCGACAGTGGGAAGAGAAGGGGTGTTCAGCCCAGGACAGCACCTTATCTAGTGTGTCAGAGGCATTGAGCCCAGCTATGCACATCTATGTGTGGTGTGCTCTTTTTTCTTCTCAGTGGCTCTACTAAGTTGTCAAGGTGACTTCCTTTTACAGCTGTCTCGATATTATGTATTCTAGCCTTGGACGATTTCCAGTCCTGAAGAAATCTACATGCTTTTTATATGCTTTTCATTATGGAAATGGGAATCCTTAAGTGGGTACTCAATAACGGATAATGCCATATCTTAGCGGCAACCTTGGCTTATGTGAATTGACCTTATCGGTTAAAATCACAGCCTTTTCATTAACATGGCCAATGCATAATGTATCAGGGCACAGTTCAAAGCTGCAAATGTGTTTTCAGACAGAAATATTCCAAGAATGCAAGTCAGGTATATTTCTCAGATAAATGACAGTAGGGGCATTGCATGCACTGAAATTCTCGGTTCTCAGGTTTCCTGAAACGCAGCGCGCTCATCATTAATCATTCATTGGGGTCGGCCCTTCAGTCAATGGCAGCTCTGAGTAAGCCGAAGCGAGCTGTTAGCTAATCCTTCCTGCCAAGAGGATCCTGGGGTGAGAGAGGACAACTGGATAGTCAGTCACACGTGCTGGTGCCCAGGCGCTGCCCCTGTCGCCCGGCTCCGAGCGAGCGAGCGTGGGTGTGCGTGTGTGCTCACGCTCTCGGACACATATCCAAGGCTTCCCAGAAGGAAAAACAAATTTGGCCTAATATTGAGTGCGACTAGGGTTTGCAACAGAAAGCAGCTCGAGTTGTGGCGTAATGGCTCAAGGTGGCCCTCTAAACGCCGAATAAACCCATTCCTTAGCTCTTTAATGAACCAGCAAGAACCACCATCACAAGAACGGTCTTCTCCAACCAAAGGCGCCGCACGAAAGCCTTCCCAAGTTGGGCTGCGAGTCCTGGCGAGGTTCCCCGCGGAAGCACTGCACGTCGTGGGCTCTCCCGGCGGGACTCACCTCCCCGGGAATCCCCGGCGCCGGGTAGTGCGAGCGGAGCCTGCGGGGCCTACGGAAGGGAACCTGGAAATTGGGTCCCGCCCGCCCGCGCCGGCGAGAGTGCTGGGCTGGGGCGCAGGCGTGCGGCAGAGGCGGAGAGGACGGGAACTCACTTCCACGCTGTAACCCCCCGTTTCCGTCGCGGCCCCGGGGGACTCGGCTGCACGCGCGCAGCTGAATTCGGCGCCGCGTTGGCTCCAGCCCCAGGGCGGCCGTGGGGCGCGTGAGAACCCGCTGGGATGCGTGGCCCCGGCGCGCGCGCGCCCCGCGTCGGGGTGCCGCTCCGCTCCACCTGGCTCCTCCACCCCCTCCCTGTCTCATCCCCTCCCTCCTCCACACCCCCGCCCCCGGGACCCGCCGGCGCCCTCCTCGCACCGGCCGGAGAGTAGTGCACAAAGCGGCGGGTGAGGGGAAGCCTAGCAGGCGTGCACCGCGCAGTGAGATCACTGGCGTTATAAATATCCCAGTGCCAGCGCCGGGCTCCGTTCGGGTGGCCTCTCTCTCTCCCCTTCTCCCTCTCTCTCCCCCAAGGCTATGTCCGCCCGGCGCGGCGAGGGGGGCAGCGCCAGAGGCACGCAGCCGCGCGGGGGCTACAGAGCCCAGAGCCAGCCCTACAAGATGCACTTAGGACCCCCGCGGCTGGAAGAATGAGCTTGTCCTTCCTCCTCCTCTTCCTCAGCCACCTGATCCTCAGCGCCTGGGCTCAAGGGGAGAAGCGCCTCGCCCCCAAAGGGCAACTCGGACCCGCTGCCACGGAGAAGATCCCGGGAGGCTCCAGCAGCCGCCGGAACAGCAGTAGCACCACGTCTTCCTCTGCCTCCTCCCCCGCGACTCCTCCGGGCAGCCCAGGAAGCGGCTTGGAGCAGAGCAGTTTCCAGTGGACGCCCTCGGGACGCCGGACTGGCAGCCTCTACTGCAGAGTGGGCATCGGCTTCCATCTGCAGATCTACCCGGATGGCAAAGTCAATGGCTCCCACGAAGCCAATATGTTAAGTAAGTTGCTCGCTCTCTAGCAAAACCTGTCCTAAGCGGGTGGCCGGACACTGGGGAGGGACAGCCAGTATTCCCAGGGCCGCCGGCTCACCTACCGAAGCCCCTGCCGTGGAAGCAGCCTGGCGGGTGGCGTGCAGACGCGTTTGTGTGGCGTGCATACACGCACCCCACTCGTGGGTAAGGAATGGCGATCCGTGAAGTGTAGCTCCCCGGAGGCTGGTGCGCAGAGAAAGGTACCTTGTTTCCAGTTTGCTCTGGTCTCGAAGAGGAGCCTCCAGCCCGAGCCTGGAAAAAAAAAACCCCAAATCTCCTCCTTCCTCCTCCTTCAGTTCTCTTTACTTCCTGCTGCTGTTTACTAGGCTAGCATTTTCGTTAGCCATCCAAGTGTGTCCCTTTTCCTTACCCATGACTTGATATTTTTTTAGAAGAATAAAACTGACATACCCCCTGAACCACCATCATAAGCCCCCACATAATATGAATATACATAGTATTTAACATATATGCATACGTATGTCTATTGTGTATGCGTATGTGCACATTATGTACATATAGAGTAACGTATATGCATATTCTAGGGAAGACAGTGATCTGGCAAACTGGACACGTTTAGAAAGGGCATCGCGGTGGACATTTGCATTTTAGCTCTAGAGTTGGGTTTAGTAGCGTTTACTATCTTGAGACCAAGAAAGTCAACACCTTTCGAAAGAGCGGCTAGCCTTTGGCCCCCCAAGGACAATTAGGGTCAAGTTCTTTATTTTAAAAGAAATTCAGAGGAGATTCAATTCGGTACAGGTGCAAATTGTGTAGGTTTTTTTTTTTTTTTTTTTTTTTTTTTTTAAGCCAGGCTTTACATTTTCTGAGTTTTCGCTTTAGCTCTTTCTTTCGCTCCTTTCTCATTTCTCTTGTCTTCCACTCGGCCAGGATTTGCAGATATCACCTCCCTCCTCCGCTTCCTCTCACCGCCCCAGGCAGCTGGGGGTGTGCGCGGGCTGCGGCGGCCCCTGCCGGGCTTTCCCTCGGTGGGGCCCCATCGCTCTTCCAGCGGAGTCAGTCCATCAGGTAGAACCCCAGCTCCGGCCCGGACCACAGAGAGGGGAGAGGTGTCCCGGAGACAGCGCTGCTCTCATGGGCTCCGGAGTGTCAGCCTGGTGCTCCCAGGTGTACTCCCATCTCCACTCTCGGAAAGTTCCATTGTTTTGATCCCTTACTGTTTTCCTTCTGCCTAGAGCAATGCTTGGCCCTCGGAAATTGCTCACTTAATCTGTTGAGTGTCTACATACCTCACTTAAAGATGAGGAAACCGGCTGGGAACGTGCTCCGGCTGAAACCCAGGACCATACAGGCAATAGGGCTTCTGGTCCTCCAGGCTCTGGAGGAGCGCGGGTGCCACAGGGGCACTGACCTCCAGAGTGGAGGTGTTATGACGGTGGGGGGACCGGCCGGCAGGCCAGCCTCTTCCCTGGGGCTCAGGAGGCAGGAGGCGGGGTAAAAAAAGATCTCCGGGCTGCGGAGGTTCACTCCGGAAGAGGGGCGGGTCGCCGCCCACCCCCTGCCGCAGACTAGCGGCTCAGGCTGTGCAGCTCCAGCTGGCCGTGCTGCGCGTGGCAAGGTGTCCTGGGCACACCCGAGAGAGGCCCTCCACATGCGCCTCCCCAAGTCCCAGGGCCTCCCACACGCTTCTTAGAGGAGCCCATTTCTATGTTTTAAGGTTCATGTCACCATGTTAAAAGAACTCCCTATCTTTGGTGATAGGGCGAAGGAAGGGGAATTTTCTGAGATTTCAGGAACAGGAAAGTTAGGTCTCTTTCAGTAATTTCATTTGCCCTTATTTTGTCCCACGCAACCCTTTGCTCCATCAGACATCAGAGCTCAGTGCCCACTGCTAGGACTCTTTCCTCCTTTATCTTACGGAAAACCTTTTTTATTCAGTTCTTGTAGTTTATCTAGAAAATTAGTACCACCAGAGGGTAACTTCTGGGTTCCCAAAGGCAGACCCAAAGGTAGCATGCGTCAGACAGCAGTTTGCATCCCAGCGAATTAAAGAGTGTCTGGGGTGTGTTTCATGTGCTAGGTATCTCTGAAAACAGACTTATTCCCAAGACATTCGCTCTCTTCTCTTGGATGGAACTATATAGACCTAAATAAATAAATAAATAAATAAATAAATAAATAAACAAATGCAGCTTAGGCCTTGCCTAACGGGAAGTTGTAGAAAAGTATAGGAAGGAAAATGTGAACAGCTCAACAAAGAATATTTTCAGCTGCAGAAGACATTGACCAATATGTTATTTCTAAGACCTAATTTATTTTAAAATTCACTTTGAAAAATGTCTACAAAAGAACAGGGATCTTTTCTAAACAGTGACTAAAAGAACTTTTTTTAAACTATCACTTTCCTAACTAATTCCAATTTACCATAGCCTTTCAGAGTTTAGTCTGTGTGTTTCACATGGCATGTGATCATTCATTCATCCATTCATTCATGCACCCGATATAGGATACCTATTTCACCCAGCCTGATATTTTGGTTACTATTGGACTCATGGGGGAATATCTTTTTGTTTTTGACTGCCATAGGTTTTTGTCAGAGGAAACAATAGCTGAAGTGTTCAAATCATGGTGACTTTTCTGCTTTGTGATGCCTGGAGTGGCCAATACTACTTCATAAGATTGTGCTACCATTGATTCATGAAGAGTGCATGGAATATGTCATATTTACTAGAATGGCATGTAATTTGGAAATGTAAAATGAATCTCTGCCCTTAAGTAGCTGTGAAAGAGAAACAGAAGCCTGGTAATTACAGTTCGTCACATACACCTTTGAAGGCACAGCACTTGATGGTTTCCTGACATATGTAAACTAAGGCATTGGTCATGGACTGTTGGTTAAAGTACACGAGGAAGCATTTGTCTAAGTCTCACAAGAGACACTGAAAAAGCTGGTATCACAGAGGACAATAGAGGATACATCAGAAATTTACCTCATCAGCTAATTCTACTGTCTGTGAGTGAGCAGTGACAGAAAACATTGTGTGTGTGTGTATGTGTGTGTGTGTGTGTGTGTGTGTGTGTGTGTGTGTGTCACAGCTTGCTACTTCAGAAAAGAGTCAAAACTTTGCTCTGAAGCTGCAATCTTTTAAACTCGATAGTTTTCTGTGACATTTGTGAGAGCAAACATATATATCCCAACTATCATGTGACATAAACATTTTTGCAACTGTGAATGCTTTCTAGTTTTACTGTCAGACGTACACACTAGCCATAGATTTTTGAAATAGAATTTGTTTATTTAAAATATACCACTGAATATATTCTTAATTTCTCTTGTACAATAGTTATCTCAAGTTTTGAAGGCAGAGAAAAGAATCAACCTTATTGCACATCTACTCTTACTATTGGGAAATATTAGGGAAGGATTAAGAAAAATGGGACAAAAATAGATGATGAAATCCAATTATTGAATAGAAACAAAGGCTTTGCTTTAATTTATATTGATTAAGGTTAGTTTCAATACAATGCTTCTGCTGTCTTATCTTGGGCTATTAAAGCATAGGCATTTATGTATTTCTCAATTTAGGGACCAAAAGTTTAATACTATATAGAATATCAAAGTCTTCATATAAAATATGAAAATTCCAATCATATATTTTGGTTAAACTGAATCTTTAATTTTACTGGTCTTCAGAAATCTGAATTCACTATCAATTTTGATGTTATGTAGAGTCAACCTTTATATAGTCTCCCAAACCTAGATTAAGCAGAATCTGTATCTATTGCATAGAAAAACTCAATTAGTTTGTGTTACTAATCTAATCAATGAAAAGAGATAAACTGGATATTTAAGACTCAGACTTTATAATGACACAGCACATCTGTTGCTGTGTGAACAAAAATAGAGAAACTTCAGTTTTAAATTATTTTTCTTTGGGGATTTTCAGATGGGCTGTTGAAGGCTTTTGATTACATGGAGTATCTGCGCCTTATTAGGAATAGAGAGAAAAGAAAGAAGCCTATATAATTATATTAGTTGTCTCTACTAGAGTCCTATTGTTTTAAAAAATCTGGAGCAGACTAAAAAATCTAGATATATATTTTCTTCTTGAAATACACTTATTTTGCATTGCATGCCTATGCTTGTAAGTGGATTAAACAGTGTGTATATAATCTGAGAGACACCAAATGTTTATCTTCTTCAACCTAGATGTCAACCCCAAAATTCCCGTATGAAAATTCCTTCTGTGAGCACTACACTTTTCCTTTGATCCTCTTAAATGTGACTACCCTAGGAAAGATAACATGTTGTTGCTAGCACTCTAATGTGAATTCATTTATACTGATCGCTATTCCCTTGCTCCACTCCCCAAGCAGGAGAAGGCCAACATAGCAGGAGAGTGCTAAAATATGGATGTGTGCATGTGGGTGTCCTGAAAAGTGAAAGAGGGTCAAAGAACACAATCCAACTTAGGGAACATTCATTGACTATCTGTGATCTGTGAGACGCAATTTGCCTTACACACTTTTGCTTAAGGATACCATCCCGGCATCCACAATATAAATTGCAAATTTTCATCAAATTTATTATTACTGACTCACAAGAGTTAGGAAATTACTGAAATTAAAAAAGAATCCATTTTTGAGAAATGTTTCTTGGGATTTATATATGTATGATTTAATGCACATAGATTTATTATATAGTATATTATGCAAAAAATCTTTAGTGAGTTACTGAGATTTGGCATAGTAAAATCATAGTAATCTCTTGGGGAGACAGGAAGTTGAATTATAGGGCTTATAGAATCTGCTCTAATATTTTAGAAAAAGAGACTGAAATTACTTTTGAATTTATGATTTTACCAACATTCACAATATTATGCCATAATTACATTAAGATTTAGAAGGTGATACCAAAGTTGCCTATGTGAAAAAACTATTATTTTATTGAATCTCGTGTCTTCCCTTGTGGCCCTCGTTATTTTAAGTAGAATGATATAGGTGAAAGTATTTTTTAAGCTTTCAATTAGATATAATCTTCTTAAAATGATAAAAATCCTTTCATTTTCAGACAATCTATAATTTCAATAGTGGAACTTACAAGAAAAGAAACCATGCAGTATGTAATAAAATAATAACAATTCACATATATTATGAATTTCATCTTCCTCATACATAAAATTCATTATAATGAAAATTTTACACAACATATATCCACACAGAATGTACAGTTGTAGAAAACAAGTTAAATGTGTGAAAATGGGTCTTTCTTAAAAACAGAACATGCTAGTTGTTGAACCCAGTAGTTTACATAGGCAATGTTTCCAGTGAACAAATATTTTTTGGAGCCCTTTTATTTTGACCTCTTAAATGTTAGCATGCAAACACTTAGTGAAATATTTATCTTTTATGCTGCCATGTATTTTTTCGCTAGTACAGAATACATTTGCATTTACAAAACCAGGTGATTTTCCAGAGAATGGAATAAAACACCTCTACCAATGTAGAACCATGGGTAAATTGCAACCCAGTCTCTTCTATGCACTCCATATTGTCTCCTTTGCAGCTATCATTCACACCTAAACAGTTTCTCATGTTCTCCCTATCTCACTTTGTAACATATTTACACAGTATTCACATTACATTCCCCATCTCTCAGATATCTAAAATTACTAATACTCTTTGCAAGATCATTCTGTAATTTTGATAGAAAAATAATTTTGCATCAGATATCTATTTATGTTTTATTAAACATACTACATCCTATAGTGTTTTTAACTTTACAAAATATTCTGTATACTTTGTTACTATTTGATAAAATGATAATACTTCTAAATCTTTGGATGTGCATCAAAGTAATAATTTATATAGCAAAATCCATTAGAAATAGCATTTTGAGATAGCAGTTTCTTTCTAAAAGCAAAAGAAGTTTCTTTTAAATAGTTTTTGGGTGTTTTGTTCCTTCTAAAGAAACATCTACTAAAAAATCGGTAGCTGCAGTTTTCTTGAGATGTGTTTTTTTATTCTGGATTAAGAACATATTACAAAAACATAGTTCTGCTACTCCTCCCCCCATAAGCTTTCTGATCAAGTATTATTCAGAAATTGAGTTTAATAAATAAGCAATAGTATTTGCTGCAATTCTAGGTATTAGCTCACTTTGTGCAACAAAAGTGCTCAATAAAGATATTCATATGTATTTATTAAATTTATAAGTGTATCCACAATACCACTTTTTGGTAAATTGAATACATTTATATGTATTTAAAATACTCCAGGGGGAGATTATTTTGAGAAAATCAGGTGAAATATAACTATATGCTCAAAATATTAAATATTGAAAAGTTGAACTTTTTCCCCTTGTCATTCCCATCTTTGTTTCCTTCCTTTGTTCCTAAGACTGGTCCCTTTGTTGCACCAATGAACTATATTATTTTGTTCTTTTTTCTTTTTTACAATTTGATGTAGGCAATTAACAAAAAGCACTATGCTTTTCTTGTGTTCATATAACACAGGAAAAGAGGCAGGAATTCCAGTTACATACAGATTGAGCCTCATTTTTTAAAATTCTCTGTGGACTGTGGTGTATGATTTTCTTGACCAAGTAGATGTGGGCTTTCAAATTATAGGAGACAGAGGAACTTTGACCTGATAATGTTAACTCTGAAATAGCAAATATATACATTAACAAAATAAAATACCTCATTAAATTTTTTCCAGAAAAGTCATTCAAAATGTAAGTTGTCTCAAACCATAAACCATTAAACACCTCATTGAGCCAATAATCCCAAGTGATTTACATTGCCTTTAGTATCTTGTTATGTGTAATGTTTAAATAAGCTGCTCACTAAATGATCGAGTTGGTAGATATGGATTTGTATTTTTATAATGATGGTAGTTTGAGAGGATGGTTTTCCTTTATGTAAATAAGTATTGTTTTTAAGGCTTTCACCAGTTTATGTTCATCTGCAGTAGATGTTATGTGCTTTAATTTTAAAGAGCGCATTGTCTCTGATAGAAAAACAATGCATGAGAATCATTTTGAAATATAGTTTTCAAAGTCCTTCAATTTCTTTAGAACTTGAAAAGATTCTATTGTCAACCATTATTTACTAAAAGTGACTGTATGAAAAAAAGAATTACTAATGAAGTTGAACTACATTTTTGAATCTTGAAATCTATCATTTTAAATGAACACTTGATTGCTAGCCTCTTTTAAAATAATGAGTATAACAAAAACTGTTAAGTACTTTTTCTAAAATTGCATTAGTAAAGAATGGAAGGAATTTATGCAGAAATTTAATTCTTCACAATGGTATATGGAGGCCTCTGTGTTTTATTTTGGGATTTCTGTCATCCTAGGTATTTTGGAAATATTTGCTGTGTCTCAGGGGATTGTAGGAATACGAGGAGTTTTCAGCAACAAATTTTTAGCGATGTCAAAAAAAGGAAAACTCCATGCAAGTGTAAGTAAAATCACTTTATATTTGTTAAGGGTGTTACGGAGATTTTACATTTGTACAATGGAATGAAGTGACTTTCTAAATTAGTTAGTAGGTAGGAAAACTTGCCCAGAGAACTTAATGTATATAGTTTTTGTAAAATTATATGTATTTTTAACCAAAACGTTGTATGTGTCTTTGTAAGTACTCATGTAAATATTTTATTTACTTGAAAAGATAGAGTCCACAAAAAATTTAAGGATAATGGCATTTGAAAATAACATTCTCCAAGTGATTGCCATTATTTATTGTTTAAAACTTGTCCAAGTGAGAGAAATATGAAAATAACATTATATAACATTTTAAAAATTTATATATTTCTGATGTTTATGTGTGTTTAGTTGATCAGGTTCTTTTTTAATTTTACAAGTTATTCATGATGTCAAAAATTGGATCACAGTAATATAACATATTTATATTTTAATAAGTATGGAGGGAAGAAAGCAATAATTAGGCCACTTTGACCCTATATAGAAAAATTTTATTTAATCCATTTGTGAAATATTCATCTTATATTTTTGTTGCATCAAAAACAATTTTTAAAACTATGAAGACTTAATTTTGCACTCATAAACATTTCTTCAGATCATACACATTTTGTAAGCAATTTATAAATTATAGATTGCTTTGCTTTGTTCTGAAAATGTTGATTACTCTAGAAGCATTAACGCATTTTAAAGATAATAAAATATGTTTAACTTAATTTTCCTACACACAGATTCTGTTTCTATTAGCATATATGCACAGCACTTAATGTATGCTTTTTCTATAGTATACTAAGTTTTGTCACATTTAAGTCATTTGAAAAAGCAAGTCTTTAATGATAGTCCTTTAGTCCTTATTCCCTTTGATTCTTATTACAAATTAGAGAAAGATCACTTTTCTAGTTTTCAAAATATATAGGAAGTTTTAATTGAGTGAAATTTACTAATTATGATTTCTACTTTACAGACCTTTAAAAAACTCAGTAAGAACTTCATTTGATTCAGCGTGTAAGACTTTTAATTTTCCTCCCCCTACCATCTAAATGTGACTTGTTAAATACCACTTGGGGGAAGCAGTAGCATTCAAGCGATTTCTACAGTTATTTGAGGATTAAATGAGATAACACATGTAAAGCTTTTAGATCAGTGTTTGGTACATTGTAAGTGCTCAACAAATATTACTTATTAGTATGTGATGATCTAAATATAGTAATCTACTGAAACTTCAGTTTATGAAGATAAATGAAAAACCTTTTTAAATCACCCACCACCAGAATTATAAAATGATTTACCTAGTTTATTTTCCGAGCTGGTTATTATATTCTAGTAAGCTATAATATAGTATTCATAAAATAATTGCTCTTTGATTTCTAAATTATTTTAAGGGGCAGATTTCTGCTGGCTTTGGAAATGTAGGACATGCCACTTTATTTTTAAATTTTGATTTTGAAAAATCCACATATCGAATAGAAAATGATGACCAAACATCTGCACGGGAAAACTTCTCATTCAACTTCAGCTTATAAAAGGTTGAAACACCTTCAAAATCCATCAGAATAATATGCAGTATATGTATAAAAACTTCCTCTTACTAGTTTGTTTTGGGTGAAAATATTGATTAATTTTTTTTCATATTCATGCCCTAATACATGAAAAAAAAATAGACTAAACTTAGGCCAGCTTAAGGATAATTGCCATAGAAAGCAAAGTATTACAAATGGATGCCAATTAGAAAGGTCAAACTGAGAGGTTAGGATACATGATTCCTCTGTCAAAAGCAAGTAACAAATTTCCAGAAATTTGACCCAAATGTCTAAGGATGGCTGGCTGAAATAATGCAGATAATGCAAAAACAGCATCTGTTATTCTTTCTCATCTTGGCAGGCTAAAGTTATTTCATGGAATAATGACTTTTAAACAGCACAAAGCAAGTCTTGCTCTTGTCACTCACAGAAACTCTTTGATATAAAAGTCATTCTGATGACTTTGAGCTGAATTGTAGATAAAAAATTAAGCCCCATGATTATGCGGATTCTTTTTAAACCAATTGTCTAAGCCCACTTTTTCTTATCGGAGCTTTTATTAGCACTTTTTTTTTTCTAGCTGGAAACCTAATTAAATTATAAAGTGATTCATTTTGAAGGAAGTTGAATTTAGAAATGGTATTAATCCTAGCAATTATCCGTTTTAATCCCAGATGTTTTCTTTCCTGTTATCAATTTCTACTTAAACATGTTGAAAAATTGTTAGTGTAACTTTAATATACTTACAGTACTTGAATTAGCTGTTTTACAAAATTGTATGATAATTAAAAAGGCTAAAAAACCTTAAATTTTTAGGATTAAATGTGTAATTTGTAATTTGTTTCAAATTAATAATTGTGTAGAGGCATATAGTATCTTTATAATCATTTTCACACGCACACACACACACACACATACACACACACGCAAAGTCCTCACTTAATGTCATCAAAAAGTTCTTGGAAAGTGCAAATTTTTTTAAAAATATATTTTATTGATTTTATACAGAGAAGAAAGGACAGAGATAGAGAGCTAGAAACATCGATGAGAGAGAAACATCGATCAGCTGCCTCCTGCACACCCCCCACTGGGGATGTGCCCACAACCAAGGCACATCCCCTTGATGGGAATCGAACCTGGGACCTTTCAGTCCTCAGGCCGACGCTCTATCCACTGAGCCAAACCGGTCCCGGCAGAAAGTGCAAATTTAAGCAAAACTATGTACAGTGGGCCCTTGACTTACTAGTGTCCCGACTAACGAGTTTTTTGAGATACCAGCTGTCTCTGGATTTTTTTGCATTGAGTTTATAGAGTAATTTGAGTTAACGAGCTACTTAACGAGCTCCTTAACGAGCTCAGTCTTGGAAGGAATTAAACTCGTAAGTCAAGGCCCCACTGTATAAGGAAACGCATTTTACCAAAGGCTAATTGATATAAACAAAAGTTAATTACTATGGCATATCTCATCACAGAACTTCTAAATAAAGACCCCAAACACTTCTAATATTAAACATGGAAAGAAATGTCAGCTATACAGATATTTAAGAAAGATTAATAAGAACAAGTAAGATCATTCTTTTACAAGACACTTAATAAAAGCCACTTACAAAGTCGTGCAACAGCTCAGGACTCAGGACGGGGACACATCATGGCCTGGACACCCTCCACTGAGGGTGCAGTCACACACACCCACACTCACCCACACTGGGACAATTTAGACATGCCAGTGCAGTTCATCTCAAGTGCACGTCGTTGGGATGTGAGGAGACACTGGAGTCCCCAGAGAAAACCCATACAGACATGATGAGAATGTGCAAACTCCACACAGACAGTGGGCCCAGCCCAAAATAGATTTTTTTCCTCATCAGCGCTATAATAAAATGATATTGAAGGAAATAACATTATTCGAGGACCTGCTCTATGTATATAATCATCACGTATATCTTAAACTTACACAAGTTATATGCCAATTATGTCTCAATAAGATTGGAAACAATTTAAAAATTAATAAAGACTACTTTTAGAGTTTTACCTATAAAGTAAATGTAAAATAAACAATGTAAAGTATTCATATAATTATGGGAAAAGTAAATCAATAGTCTATTGAGAAACATTCATGGATAATTGTACGTAGATTCTCAACCTGGTTTTTATATGAACAATTAGAATATTAAATATCAGTTACTGGATAAAGATAATGTATTTGCAGAATTCTTTAAAAGCTCTTTGACTCACAGCATCTTATTACATAGAGGAAGAGTCTCAGAGATATTTAAATATTTCCCTAAGTTAACACAGTTAAGTGATTGAACTAGACTTATATCCTTTTAAAATTCTGTCTTTCCCTTTACAGGCTATAATGCTGATAGGTAAAAGTTAGTTTCCAAGAAGATATTATGTTTTGTTTGGAACTAATTACATTGTTTTTACCTATTATTTTATAAGAATTAATAATTTCATGATTTAATAATACTTATTATTACATTTTATATTACATTTTAAAGAACAAATACTGTGGTTTATCTTTAGAATATTTTGCTTGTCCCTCCCCAATTCTCCACCCCCCCACCCAACACCATCACACTCTCTCTCTCTCTCCCTCCCTCTCTCTCTCTTTCTTTCTCTCATTCCAAGCTCTTTTTGAAATATCTTTTACACCATCTACTTCTGTATTTCCCCAATGCTTGCTTTTAAAATCTGGAAAAAGGGGGATGTTTTTGCCACAGAACTTATCACTGAGTTTGACAAATGTTGGTTGTTCAATGTGATGATGACTTTCTTAGGGAACCCCCGTTAAGATGAACTTTCAAAACAGAGAAGAGATCTGTGGTGTCCACAGAAAACCTTCATTTAGAAAATGCATCATTGCCAATGGACACAAAGATGGGAAATAAAAATATCAGCCTAGAATGGTTAGACTTAGGCAACATTTACTCTGATTTATTTTGTGTGCTAAGTTTGTTAACTCTGTTAGAAGTTTTCTTTGAACTTCAGCCATCTTACTATGCACTGCTCCATGCAACTCATCCAATGTACATACTCTTACTAATTTACATGCAGCTCTCCTTAAAACCTCTGCTAGTATAATCTAAATATACAATGCAATCAAATCCTACCATGCAGGTTTGTTCAGCATTCTTTACAAGGATGAAAGTGTATGGTCTTCTCAAAATGCACTGGGAATCAGAGAGAGTAGGAGTAGAAAATTGCTCAGCAAAGAGCCGTGAGGGTTAGTCAGAGCCCTCTCTGTGACCTCTTTCCCAACTCATCATTCCCAGCCTGGGATCCTTTATAGAACTGAGCATGCTTCTCTTTCTGCCTCTGTCTTTTTGTCTGTCTTTTCCTGCTCTTTCTTGACACTGTTCCTGCTCTCTCCTCAGGTTTGTTGTGTTTACGGAAAGTCCTATAGAGAGCTTTTCTGCATTTGTCTGAGATGGGTCCAGATATAAGAGGCCTT